CACTGAGGTATCATCATTATGAAGTGGAAATCATAATATATTCATACATTCATATAGCTATTTGGGTCTATTTTATTTCTGTTCTTTTTCACTCTCTTCCTTCCTCCCCGTTGATTCTCTACCTCTCCTCTATTGATCTCCCTTTTACTCTTGCCTCTAATTTTCATTTTTTCAGCTTTCATTATTTATTTTTAGAAACCTTTATAAAACTTAATTTTTTTAAAAAAACTTTATTCTGTAGTAAAGTACCTACAAAATTCACAACAAAATACAAAATTATAAAATATTAAAAGCTTTTCCTTGATATCCCATTATCAGCACTGGTTTTGAATATTTTATTGGATACCCAAACAATTATAATAAAACAAGAAATGAAATAAAATGTCACACTTCACTGTCAGAAAATCAAAAATAATCAACCCCAAATGATTGGTTAAGAAAATGAGTAAAGCAATGGTCCTGGATTCAAGATTAACTAGCCAGAGTTCTCCAGAGAATCCTGAGATTGCAAGATTAATGAAATGGCTGGTAACAGTTGTAGAGATCAGCAAGACTGAAATCTGCAAGATGAGCCAGTAGGCTGAAAATTCAAGAGTTGACACTGTTGGGCTGGGGCTGTAGCTCAGTGGTAGAGCGCTTGCCTTGCAGGTGTGAGGCCCTGGGTTTGATCCTCAGCACCACAGAAAGATAAATAAATAAAATAAAGGTACTGTGTCCATCTACAACATTATGTGTGTGTGTATATATATATATATATATATATATATATATATGGCTGACACTGCAAGCCAGTAGACAAAGAGCTCAGGCAGGATTTCTGTATTACAATCTTGAGGCAGAACAGCTTCTTTGGGATAGTTGTCTTTGCTCTTGAGACTCATGATTGGATATGATTGGATATATTCTTCCCATAATTATGGAAATAATTTGCTTTATTCAAATTCTAATGATTTATCTGAGAATTGATTTTAATAAAGAGCTTCGCAACATCTTGAATGGTGTTTCAAAACAATTAAGCACTATAGCCTAGCCAAGTTGACAAATAAAATTTAACATCACAGTCCACCCCTTGGTAATGTAGAATCTATATCTCCTTAAAATGTATTTAAATTATAAAGGCAATAATGAAATAATACTTTCTCCTGATAAGAAACAACTTTCTTGCATGCAAGATAACACCAGAGGAGGATGCAAAGTTCATCAGTTATTATCACTCTTCTCTTCATTATCCTGTCATTTATATACTGAGATGTAAATTAACAAAACTTATATATGAAGTAAATGCATTTTATGCGATATAATAAGGGGAATGAGAGAAAATAAGAATCCTATACACATGTAAAAATATTCAGGACAAAATAAGGAACAAATATAACAATTACAATATTACAATTAATTTTTGAAAAGACTCAGTGAAATCTCAGCAGGGAGGGTTCACCTTTTGCTCAGTTGGACCTTTTTACACTGACCTCACTTCATTTAGTCTCAAGAGGATGAGACTCCTAAGTTCCTATTTGTTAATGTCATAATCTTACAAATTCTAATCTTCAACATGATTGAGGTTCTAGATAAAGGAGAAATTATTAGAATTCATAATAGTCTTCTCTATCCCTGATAGAATTTCTAAGAAGGCCAAATTTGGGTTGAAATTCTCCATTGGTTTTTGAGAGCCTACTAGGTGATTGGTGCTTTGTAATATAGAATCAAATCAAATTTTCAAAAGGAACCTATACAATCTCAGCAGGGAAAAGCTCAACTTCAAGTGAAGACACTCAGTAGCACCTTTCTTGTATTGACCTTTGAATAAATTCTAGAGTCTCAATATATTGAGAATGTGCTCCTTTCTTTTGTTCCTGGTGAAAATCTTAAAATCTTTTGAACCCTACATACCTCAACATGACTGAACATGCAGGATACATTTTTACAAGTGCCATTAGGCACAAGGCAAAACCAGGATTCTCCTCTGGAGCAACTAATAATTCACCATCCTTTTGATGCCTCTTATTTTTGTTTGCTGATAAATAATAGTATGTCTGCTAAGAAATACCTTTTCCCCTCTTGAAAGAATTCTAGGGTGTTTTGAGGAATTCAACCACAGTATATTTTGTTATATAGCCATTTTCATGGCCTTTCCTCATCTTCAACTAATGAGGGAGGCTAAATTTTTGATTATCTACATAAGCTCACCCATGTGTGTATTTGTTCAGTTGTGAGGATCAAACAACATATCCATTTAAAAACCTACTGATAATATTTAGATTGCTTATTCAACTACATCCCAAGAGCAACTATTTTCCATGCAAAATCAGAAATCACATGCTAATCACCAACTCATTTGGAATAGATTTTGAACCTATTGTAGAGATGTGGGATGGGACATCTACAGAAAGTTGTAATGCTCTAAGTCCAGGGGTGGGCAGGTGATTCTGAGCCACCAGTTTTATAGGAAGCAAGGGTGAAAGGGTGAACCATTCGGGGAAGGCAGTGAAGATAAGGTTCTTATCAGCAGATATGATTCCAGTTTGGACATGAAAGCACACTGAAGAATGCACAAGGGAAAGGTTTACTCATTGTGAGAATGTGCTGGTATAAGACTCATGTGCCAGCACCTGGGAAAAGTCTACGCTTAAGGAAACCTGGGGCTAGGCATAGGAAGATCCTCAGAAAATGAAGTCCAAAATAAACCCTACCTTAGCCTTATTCTTATATTTGCCTTCTTTCTTTAGGCCTGCTTTTGGTACTTTGGCTAGAGAGTACTGTCATTTTAATAGTCTGTAATATTTTTGGAGTAGTGAAAATAATATTTAATTAAGAGCCAAAAGGTCTGACTGAAGTTAGGAGAAGTGGAAAAACATGGACTCTAGAAAAATTCTAGCCAGTTTAGATCAGAAGTCTATTCCAAGCAATATCTCTTATCACTTAAGAACATGATAAGTTCTGTAAATTATGTTTTATAAACTCTATCTTGCAAGACTGTTAGGATATATGTTATGGATATAAAGCACTTAGCAGAGAGTCTGGAAACTATTGTATCTTTACTGAATGGTAGTTAGCATGATACCACCTTCCCCTCTAGGGAAATTTATTTATTATTAATTCAAGAGAACATGTAGCTTTGTAGGATACCAAATTAGTCCATAATGTTCCAGAGCAAGTAAGTCCAAATAAAACTTTCCTTGTTTGAGGGTAATTTAGTTCATTTACAATGTGGGGGAGTCTTCTTCAGTTGTATGCAACTTGAATTTCTAAAATTTGTGTCAAGAACCAACAACTTCCCACCCAGATATCTTTCTATCCAAGCCACACTCCAATTTTCATTCATTTCATAATCATCACATATGAAATTTTTCTAAATTGCATGCATGATAACTTACCTAAAATGTCTTTTTAAAGCATTGAGATCTAACTGTCTCAGTTAAGGACAAACAGAACCAAGACAGTAGCTTCTAGGCATCTTACTTCAAGCATGTTTCACTCTTATTTAGAAATTGTCTGTGCATGAAATAAATGGCTTGCATTGTATGTGCAACTAAATGTGAATGAGATATCCCAGGACACTATTCATTTTTAACCTAGGAGAAAGTTTCCTTGTGGTTTATTTTGGATACCAAGTTAGCTCTTAAGAACAGGTTTACAATCTACGGTTTTGTCCTTCTGTGTTGACACACATCGTGAGTGTTTGATCTTGGCTCATCAGTCTCACAGCTTAATCTAGTCAATGACCAACTTAAAAGTCAATTATCCCATGGTACCCTTGAGAGGACTCATTCCAGGATAGCAAAATCCATGGATGCTCATGTCCCTTATATAAAATAGCATAGTATTTCATATACCTAGGTAACCTTCCTGTGTACTTTAAATCATCTCACCATCACTTATACCTAATATAAAGTAAATGATATAAAACAGTTCTTATACAATATCATTAGGGAATAAAGAAGAAAAAATCTGGGAATGTTCAGTACACGTGTATTTTTCCCCCTAAATGTTTTTGGTCTGTGGTTGATTGATTCATGGATACAGAAGGCTACTGTATATCAGTGAAGGACTGTAGTTTCCCAAAGCCTCAAAGGGCCTTTCCTTAGGATATACTTACTTTATTATTTGTAACCAGACATTCCCCCTCACTTTTCCCAAATCCCTTCCTACTTACTTCTTTCTTGTTACTTAGCTTTTGGTATTAGAAGGTACTTTGCCATTTTCCTTATAGAATTACTGTTATTTGACTGTAAAGTTTTGTGTCCTACTTTCCCTGTCTCTAACAAAATCACTTCCAAAGAGCAAATACTCAATTAGTAATTGGAAATAAATGAGCCAGTGAACATGAAGTCTAGTTTATAAACATTTATTTTTTTCTATATTTTAATAAGTTAAAAAATCTATGTGTCTTTTATCTTTAGAAAACAAACTGAAATGGAATAAAGACTGAATACCTTTTACTTTTCTCCCCCTTTATTTCTTGATCCCTCAAGTTTTACTGCTAAATTCTTTTAAATTTTCAAAGAAATGCCTATTCCACTGCCAAGTTTTCTTGTTCTGGTTCACTAACTATGACAGATTTGCCAATTGTTGTACAAAATAATAAAACTCCTAATCTTAAAACTATTAAATAATAAATATGTAAAAAGTCATTAATAATTTTATATTATAAAGTTAATGAAACTTATTAAGGAAAAATTTGAAATACAGCACAATACTCTAAATTAGGCATATAGAATGGGAACACAAACATATACACTGTGTTCCCTTCAGACCCACCATGGCCATCCATTAAGAATGCTCATTGTTCTTCATATCCACAAAGATATCAATCTTCCTCAAATTTCAATACTTGAAATACAACCTAGAATAAAAGGAAAGAACAGTAAAATTCCAAGTTACCAGTATATAACAAGAAAGTAAAGATGATACTCACCTATTCCTTCCAGCCCCTGACTAGCCCTCTACTATTAGGAGGTTTACACACCTTTTCAAGGAAAAAGTGAAGAACAAAGCTCAGATTTCATTTAGCATGGGAGAAGCTGCTGGCCCTTTCCCTGGCCCTGGAATGTGAACTGGCCATAGCAGTATTGCGAGCCCTTGCTGCAACTCTGGCTTGAGCTCTGTCTTCCTCATCTTTCAAAGCTTCTTCATACCAGGATGGGAAGGCATTGGGGGTAGTATCATGGATTCTGGCCAAAAACTCTAGGATTTTCATCTTGCTGGTTTCAGCATGGGCTCTTGGTCCCCACATGAATTCATAACATGGAGGGTCACTGTTGGGGACCTGCTGGGACTCCAGATACTTTAGCTGCACCAAATCTTCAGTGATGACCTTCCTGGGTTCCCCATAGATGAAGTGCTTCCTATCAGCATATACACCCATCATATTCAGCACCTTCCAGATCTCCTCTTCAGAGGCACAGTTGCCTTTCATGAAGATCACACCCAGTACAATCATTAGGAGACCCATTTTGGGCATGTTCTCTTCATGACCCATTGTTCCATCAAGGGTGTAGTCTAGTTTGCTAACAAGAGCATAGTAGTGCCTGATAGGATCAACTTCCTTCAAGTCAACACCAAAGGCCAGCTCCATGTGCTCAGAGGCTCTCCTGAGGATCTCATTGAAGTGATACTTGTACTTTTTGATAACATACTTCAACATGTCTGCCTTTGTAATCAGCTCTTTCTTTTGATATTTGTCTATTAGGAACTGTACCAGTAAAACCACTTTCTTGTTTAAGGGGTCTTTGCGCCAGCCCTCAGTAACCTGACAGGAATCTGAACTTCCCTCATCTTGGCTTTGGACATCTTCATCTGAATCCATGTTTGAATCATCTGCCTTAGTGATATTGGTGGTGGATGGGGTTCCCTGAGGCAACATAGGAGTTCCAAGTATGCCAGCATTTGAAATATTTTGAGGTCTACTCTCAAAGAAAGTATAAGAAGAGGGTGTGGACTCTTCTCCCTGTGTTTCAGTGGCCTGAGCAGTCCCTAGACCCTGGTTCTCACTACGGGCCTTGCGGCGTTTTGCTTGGGCTCGGAGCTTACTCTTCTGACCTCGAGGCATAATGACTCTTGATACAGACAGCAGGCCTTAGTGCAAACAGGTGGACTGATGAATAGGTTACCCTAGAAGATGAAAAATGAGAAAATGTGAACAGACTCATTAGGGAGATTCTATCTTGGTTTCAGGAACAACTGCCACTGTTAGTTCCCTTTTGAGTACTGCTCTAGGAACCCTCAAGGCAGGAGCAGAGTGCAACCCTGTTCTGGGAGATTTTGTTACTCAGGATATTGACTTTAATTCTGAGCAATACTTTGACTCCTTCCTCTACTGACTTGAGGCAGCCTGCTTCCAACCAGAGCTTCCCATCCCACGAAATACTAAGAGAATATATGGGGGTGATAATCCTAACAGATGTGACTTCTTGGGCCACCCAGGATTGACAAGGGGCAGGGTGGGTCTCTGTGGGGCTGCCTCTGTTTGGGGGGAAAAGTGCCCATATATTCACCTTGAAACCGCTGGTTCCTAGGATTCCTTTATTTGAAGGTTTTATCCTGGACTCCACAGCACACTGAACCGGAAATGACTGTTGTCTACTTCCGGCCCCACCCACTTGACCCTGCTTGCTTAATAGGGGCAGGGCTTTTTCAGCCCACTTTTTTTCTGGAGAGGTGGAATTTCTTGAGAAGTCAGATAAAGTCTTTTCATTGATTTTTACTAGAGTTTGGGCTTCTCCCTATGCTGAGGTGGGTCAATTGGTCTCAGACCAAGGCTGTCATTTCACTGAGCATCCTGAGTAGGAAATAAGGTGAAGCCTGAGGCTAGCATTCCTGCTGGTATATCTCTGTGGTTCTTTACTTGGGTAGATGGTCCTCTTAATCCTTACTCAGTGTCTTGTATTGATTACTTATAGATGCTAATTTATCTCCCTAATGCTAACTTGAGGCTGGCTCCATCAGATAAAGTCTTAAATATATAAATAATTTCAGTACAATAAAAATCTGTACAGTATTATATTCACCATAATTAAACATAGTATATTCCTCTTATTGCTCTATTGCTACATCTTGTACCTGAGTCTGAGTTCATTTTAATAGTTGATTTGATAAAGTTTTGTATATTTTTATTCTTTCCATTTGGATGTTGTTTTGTTTTTAAATTAATTTCTTACCTGATACATTAAAATGTGGAAATTGTATACATTTACAAGGCATTGTGATGTCATATATACATTTATACACATGCATACACACACACACACACATATATATTAACTTTGTAATCAGAGTAAACATATGCATATGTTTATTTTATAGTTACCTTGCTGTGCAATAGCACATTGGAACTTCCTACTCCTAGCTATAACTTAGTATTCATTTATTAATCATTCCCCTTCCATATTCTTTCTGTCCTATGGTAACCACCATTCTGCTCTCAACTTCTATGAGGCCAGCTTTTAAAAGTATTTCACTTATGAGGGAGGTTGTGCAGTATTTGTCTTCCTATGCTTGGCTTATTTCACTTAGCATAATTATCTCTTGTTCTATCTGTGTTGTTGCAAATGATGGGATTCCATTGTTTTTCATGGTTGAATAATATTCCATTGTTTAGATGTACCACATTTTCTTTATTCATTCTTCAATTAATGCACACTTAGGTTGTTTCAATTTCTTAGGTATTGTAGAAATACAGTTTAAGTTAACATTTGAGTGCAGATACCCCTTCAACATTCTGATTTCCTTTCCTTCAGATATCTCATAGGTTTGTTCGATCCCACAGTAATTCTACTTTTAATTTTTTGAGGAACCTACATATTGTCATCCATGATTACTGTACTAATTTACATTCCAATCAACAGTATACAAGAGTTCCCTTTTTTCTACCTCCTCACCAACACTTGTTAGCTTTTGTCTTTTGATTCTAGCCATTCTTTTTGGAGTGAGATGATATCTCATTGTGGTTCTGGTTTTCATTTCCCTCATGATTTGTGGTATTGAACAATTGTTTTATATAACTGTTGACCATTTGTACATCTTTTGTGAAACTTCTGTTTAGATCTATTATCCATTTTAAAATTGGGTGTTTGCTTTGTTGTTGAGTTTTTGTATTGTGTTGTATTATTGAGTTGTTATATAGAGTTCCTTACATTAGCCCCTTTTTAAGATGTGTAGTAATTTGCAAGTTTTTTCCCTTATTCTATAGGTTATTTATTTACTTGATGTATTTCCTTTCCTGAATAGAAGCTATTTTTTTAAAAATTTGATATAATCCTATTGTCTATGTTTGCTTCTGTTTCTATGCTTTAGGGGGTACTGTAAAACAAACAAAAACAAAAACAAGCTTGCTGTTTTAGTATTCTGAAGTGTTTCTACTATGTGTTCTTCTAATAGTTTCATGTTTTAGATTTTAGTCTTATTCCATTTTGAGTTGAGTTTTGTAACTGGTAAGGGATTGGAAATATGCAGTTCATTTTACTGCATATGGATATCTAATATTCCCAGCACCATGGTTGAAAAGACTGTCTTTTTTTCAGGGTATTTTCTTAGCACATTTGTCAAAAATCAGTTGACTTTAGATGTGTGGGTTACTTCTCAGCTCTCTATTATGTTCAATTGTTCTGTATATCTGTCCAGATGTCAAAACTAGGCTGTTTTGATTACTACAGCTTTATGGCATAATTTAAAAGTAGGTAGTGTAATGCCTCCTACTTTGTTCTTTTTGATCAAGGTGGTTTTGAACTATTCAGGCTTTTTGACGTCCAGGACAAATTTTAGGATTTTTTTCTAGTTTATTTTGGTATTCGTGAATATAGCTATATGCTGGATATACAATCCAGTTCAAGTTTGATCAGTGATAGTTGGTACCATTCTTTTGTGCCTTATTTCAGATTTTATTGGGAATGCTTCTAATATTTAACATCTAGGTAGATTTTCCTTGATTTTTTATATGAAAACTCTATTCTAATATACAAAGTTATTACCATGAACAATTATTGAACCTTTAACCAATTTTTTTTCTTTACATCTGCACATGGTCAAATGCTTTCTCTTCTCTGTTAACAGTAAATTCCAATACACATTTTTTTTCTAATGTTATGGGGTCTGCTTTCCTTAGGCACAGCTTGTTTCCTTATTTCTTCATTTAATTCACTGCTATATTAAATTGGCTGTAACTTTATTTAGAATATTTTCTCTATCTCTTTATATGTGTGAGCCTGGCTCAAGTGTACTTTTCTTGGGCCATCATAATGTAGTTTTTTCTATCAAGGAGAACTTAAATCAGTTGAGTAATTTTCCATCTTCTTGTATGGTTCATAAGAATTAGTATACTGATGAGTTTTTCCTTTACAGCTTGGTTAAAGGGGCTTCCAAACAGCTGGATTTAAAAGATTTTGCAGGTTCCCAGGGACTGACTATAGTTTCAGTTTTTATTTGTCTTACTTTGGTTTTTATCACTGTGACCAAATACCTGACAGGAACATTTTAGAAAAGGAAAAGTTTATTTTGGTTCATTGTTTCAGAAGTCTCAGACCATGTTGGCTTACTCCATTGCTTTCCCCTGAAGTAAGGCCAACACCATTATGAAAGGGCAGTGGTGGAGGAAAGCTGATCAATTGTGTTGGCTAGAAAGCAGAGAGGGAAAAGAGAAGTGGCCACAGGGATGATGGACCTTTTTGGAACATGCCCTCAGTGACCCACCTCCTTTAGTCACACCCTATTTGCCTAGAATTTTACTACTCAATTAGTCCACTCAAACTAGGATGGACTGATCAGGTTACAGTTCTCACGATCTAAGAATTTCACCTCTGAATATTCCTGCATAAATACAGGAAAATTTTGGGGGGGCACCTCATATCCAAACCATAACATTCTACCCCCAGCCCCCAAAAGCTCATGTCCACCTCACAGTGCAGGGTGCATTTTTAGTCCATTTCCAAGAGTTCCCATAGTTTTAATAGTTCCAGCATTGCCTACCATTGGCTTTGATGTTTGTAGTGACCATGGTCTCTTTCTTAGCTTGGCTTTGTCTATAATCAGCAGTATTCCTCAACACACAATCCATATTATTGGAATCTCTTAATTCCTGGGATATCCATTTTAGCTTTGGTTTTATCTACATAGCCTCACATATTTCCCTCTCAGTGGTAACCTATAGGAATTTCAACCTTGACACACTTTGCCTGGCCTTCCAGGTACTCCTTTTAAAATATTGATGGAAGCCTTCATGATGCCCTAACTCAACCATCCTGCACTCCTGCGGAACCAACACCAAGTGTGCAATGCCAAGTTCTGCCACTAGTTTGATCAGTAGAGGAGCCCCTTTGGGATATGGCTGTAGTGTACTCTGAGTGCATGTGCAGCTGGGCATGGTGAAATAACTTCGCAAGCAAGAAGGGTGCTCCCATGGTCTCATCTCAAAGGAATTTTTACTTTTACATCCCTGAACCTGCAATGGGTGTGGTCTTGACAATTTCTGAGATTCCCTCAATGCATCTTTCCTGTTGTCTCTGTTGCATTTTATCATCTCTTTAGTGACTATAATCTCAACAACCATACCTCTCTTGGTCCATTTTACATGTCCTCTTCTGGTCAAATTGCAAATTATTAAAATCCCTTCCTCTAGTTTTGCTCCCTGTTCTTGCGTCTTGTAGTGAACTTGGATAAAAATTGCTATCAATATCCATTTTACTGCCTGAATGCTGTACTGTTTTGAAATTTCCTCCACCAGATTAATTAGTTCACTTCCTTTAAATTCAGCCTCACAGAAAGTCTCAGGGCATGGGCAAAATGTAGATAAGTTTTTTGTTAGAGTGTAACAATATTTTATTTTATTTTATGTAATTTTAATTTAAAAATCCTAAATCAGTTGATAATTGGCCGAATAACTCATCTATTAATAAATATTATTCATGAGTATTATTAGAATTATCTATTGTCAGGCCCTAATCTTTGCCAGGAAATATTACTTGTACCTACATATATGTAATTTTGGTAAACAGAAAATTTTAATATTATTTCTTTAACACTATCTTTCCCTGAAAATATATAATTTCTGTGTTCTTT